TTTTCTCAACCTGATCCATGACATGTACCACTGCACACGTAGCCTTGCAAGTGGCTCGAATGGGTGGATCGGGAGCTGCCAGAATGGCCAAGTAGGATCCCAAAGGATGTGGAAAACAAAAGCCAGCCAATACGTTGTGAAGATGACTCACGCTTGCGAGGTGGAACGATAGATGAGGGAGGAGCAAGAGCGTCGCGTGAGGATGGACCAAATCCATCTGAAGGGCAAGGAGGATGAGCTTGCTAGGAGGCAAGAGCAGATAAGTCTGTGTGAAGCAGCCATCAAGCGTAAGAAAAAAGAGCGTGAAGCTTGTGAGGCAGCTCTCAAGAACAAGAAGGATGCAGTGGAACCATCTTCAGGGCGCGACAGAAAGGGGAAACAACAATGCTACACCTAGAAGAAAAATGTAATCAACCCAGCAAGTTATATTTCCTAAGGCATGTAAGGACGAGTGGTGGAACTATGAACATTAGAATATAGAGTTCCACACATGCCATTGCAAGTTGTGCTCTATTTATTTTCTCCAAGGCATGTTAGGATTACTGGTGGGACTATTTAGCTTCAAGTACCTAGAGTTCCACACATGCCATATATTGTTTCATGTACTATCCATGTAGCTCTGGGCTAACCAAACGTGTGTGTTGCTTCAAATGTTTCAAGTGTTCCTATCAAGTGTATGCACCTTTTTCATGTTACTGCTTTCAACAAAGTAGAACTTTAGTTTCCGTACAAGTTCTGGCGTTTCATCTTTAATCAAAGTTGTAGATTAGGATGTGGTGCTACAAATTTTATTTTCGGACCAACACACTCGGTGCCAAGGCCTTTGGCACCGAGCTTGGCGCCTAAGCACACGGCGCCGACCTCGGAGCCAAGGTCTACGGCGCCAAGCTCGGAGCCATGCATCTCGGTGCTGACCTCGCCGCCAAGGCGGCGCGACATCATCGCCACACCAGCGCCACGCTGAAATGGGCCTAGGACCTTGGCGCCAAAGCCTACGCTGCGGAGACGTGGTAGCTCGGTGTCAATGGTCATGGTGCCGAGCGCAGGGTCCATGAGACAAGGAAACTTCCATGGTCTATTTGTGAATATTTTTCAAAAAAGGGCCAAAAAAAAGTTCTGTCTAGTAGCAACAAAGCATTGCTAAAGTGCCATAGCCACACTCTGACATACCTCTCTAGTACCTCTTCAGGGCTCCTGTGTGGGCAGGCGTTGAAGTTGGTTGTGATCCAACCAGCCGGAACTCCCATGGTTCTCTGCAATTTCAACGACATGGAAGTATTAGCCATTTATTTAGTGGTGCACCTAACAGGCTGATTACCAAACAGTTATTAAGTTACTTACTTGGAGCTCACCACGTCAGCAGCGTCTAGGGGCCTGATACCCACCGCCTGCTCCACCATGTTCTTTCAACCGTCGTGGTCCAAGATCCTCGTGACCGTGGCCCCCTCCAAAGGAAGCCCCAAAGAAAAGGGCCATGTCCTGTAGCGCGATAGTCATCTCGCCATAGGGGAGGTGGAAACCGTGGGTCTCTTGATACTATCTATCGATCGCAGCGGTGATAAGAGGCCCATCCATCCATGTCATGTAGGCCATCATTGACAACATGGGCTAGCTCGAGAATGCCGGCAGGTCGTATGTACGACATGTACCTCTCGTCCCACCGGTGTGGAGTGCGGTCCCGAGGCCTCAAGGGGCCCAACTGTGGGTGTAGATACACATCTATCTGCAAGTGGGCCCAGTGCTTGCTGTCTTAAAACAACTCAAGCAGTGGGTATACCTGGGTGTGCCATCCTATATGACAAAAACCAAAAAAACAGTAGAACAATTAGAGTAATAAACAATAATAAAGGAACCATGAATATGAAAAAAAAAATAACTGCAAAGCTTCTTTTACTAGCTGGAAAGCACACATACACTCTGCAGTGCTGCCTAACTTATTCTGTGAAGGAGATATATTGCACTTGTATCCTGATCCAATGTGTTTCATGATATGGAATCATGGACATTACGCTAAAGTAAATTATTGAGGTTACTATATTACTGTGAGATCGTTTCCTTGTCCCTGAACTATATAACTGTACACACAATAAGGTTTTAATTAAAATATACTATTCAATAATTTGTGGATCATCCTTCTCCAATACAAGCCCAACAAGAGCCCACAAATGTCTAGGGTTTTCACCCCTCTACTATAAATACCATTCCTTCAATAGAGTATTCACACATATTCCCCATTCCCCATTTTCTTCTTCTACTCCCCATATCTTTTCTGTTGGAAGAAATAGATCTACAAGATCAAGGTGGAATTTCAATCCACTGGGAAACACCATAGGTGAGAACTCATACTTCCAAGATGCATCAGCTTGACTTTCCAATTGCTCATATTGTCCCATCTTCTATCTAGTTCAGGGCAACAACTAGATCAGTTTTTCTTGAAATACATTCTATTTTGTTTCTGTTGGCAATAATCAATCTGCACAAAAGTTTATCTCCATCACCAACCATGCTTAAGGGCATAATTTTTGAATGTTTTCTTGATCTAAGCAGACCTAAGCTAGATTCTTTGAATGTCACAAGTGTTTGACCATATCACTACGCATTTTGGATGGCCTTATCTTGAGGCTTATGTTTGGTCATTATTTTGGGAGTTGTAAGATTTCTTTTGTTGCAAGCGCATGCATTTCGTGGTCATGGTGAGTCCTCTACATCAAGAAACAAGGGAAACTGTCTAGAGATGCTAGATTGGTATAAGAAAAGGGATGAAAGTGCTGCACAGTTACTCAATACCGCTGCTAAGAACCATACAATGACATCACATACAATCCAAAAAGACCTGTGCAAAGCTTGTGGAGACTTAACTGTGAAGGCAATTGTTGACGACACTGGGGATAAGTGATTTGCTATTCTTGTTGATGAGGCAAGGGATGCATCTATTAAGGAACAAATGGCTGTGATAGTGAGGTTTGTATCTTACTAAACATTTAGTTTCTTGATTTACATTGCTATTAAATTACTAAGTATCCTTCTTGGTTCATATAGGTATGTGAATTCGCTAGGGCAAGTGATAGAGAGATTTATTGGGGTCAAATCGGTTGCCGACACAACTTCAGCTGCTCTAAAGGAAGCTTTAGATGGTATGTTTGCTCTCCATGGTTTGTCTATGTCTAGATTGCGAGGTCAAGGGTATGATGGAGCATCTAACATGAGACAAGAGTTCCATGGGTTGCAAAGACGGATATTGGATGAGAATCCACATGCTTTCTATATACATTGCTTTGCACATCAATTGCAATTAGTGGTGTTTTGGTTGCTAAGTGTTATGTAACGCCCCAGAGTCCAAACGGCTCAGATCCACTCTACACGCTGAGCGAACCACACCTATTACCATCCCACTTACGCTTTCGTCCTCGCTTCGCGTAAAAGGATTAACCCGGGGATGGTGGGATGGACTCTAAAAGCCTTATATGTTAGTCTGTCCCACCTTTAACAACCAAGGTGGGACTAAACTCTCCACAATATCTCATTAACTTGCATATGGGCCAAATTCCAAACTGGGCCGGATGTCACATACACCCCCCCTCAAAGGAACCGACGTCCTCGTCAGCCCAACACACCCACAACCGGGCAAACGATGACCAGGAACGTTCCCTCTTTGCACACGTAACCATGCGCCCAGTGCCGGCACATGTGCCATGCCGTGCACCCCACGGGGCCTACACGCGCAATGAACCCCATGTCCGTGCCCCTGGCCCGCATGCGCCCGTGGCCGCGAAGGTCGGCTCTGATACCATTTGTAACGCCCCAGAGTCCAAACGGCTTAGATCCACTCTGCACGCTGAGCGAACCACACCTATCATCATCCCACTTACGCTTTTGTCCTCGCTTCGCGTAAAAGGATTAACCCAGGGATGGTGGGATGGACTCTAGAAGCCTTATATGTTGGTCTGTCCCACCTTTAACAATCAAGGTGGGACTAAACTCTCCACAATATCTCATTAACTTGCATATGGGCCAAATTCCAAATTGGGCCGGATGTCACATGTTGTTCTTCGGTATTTGATTTTTTAATATCACTGCTATGATTGTCGATACCGTCAATGGTTCATGTAAGAGGAGAGATCAATTAGCCCAACAACACCATGACCACATTGTAAATCAGTTGGAGGGTGGTACACTTTTTAGTGGAAGAGGGAAAACTCAAGAAACTAACCTAGCAAGGGGTCGTGGAGGACTGGAGGTAACCTACTACCATCACTTCAAAAATGAAATATTTAATGTAGTGCATGACAAAGTTATTGTGGAATTCAACAATCGTTTTGCTGAAAGGGCTACTCAGTTATTAAGATGCATTGTCTCTAGATCCAAAGAATTCCTTTGCCAATTATGACCATGAAAAATTGGTTCAACTTGCTGAGATATATATGATCTTGACTTCTCCGAATATGAGTGTCGCAAACTTTGGGCACAACTTGATTATTTCATTGATGATGTGAGAGCTGATCCTTGTTTCTCAAATTGTTATGATCTTGGTGTTCTTGCTATGAAGATGGTCGAAACTGATAGGCACACAACATTTCCATTAGTTTATCGTCTTATTGAGTTGGCCTTGATTTTACCGGTTGCAACTGCCACAGTGGAAAGGGCCTTCTCAGCTATGAAAATTATTAAGGCTGACTTGTCAAATAAGATGGGTGATGAATGGTTGAATCATCGGATGGTTTGTTATATTGAGCGAGATATATTTGCAAGCATAACCGATGATGATATCTTACAACATTTTCAAGAATTGAAGTCTCGTTTGAAGAAGTTACCTAGTACAATTCGTTATAGTGGTATGCTACATTCAGATTATAAATGTATGTTTAACAATTAATCTTTTTTATGACATTTTCATTTATATTTTGAACTTATTTATATGCAGATCTTGATTTAGCAAAGGAAGATGCGAATGCACAATATTCTTAGCTTCTTAGAGGCCCTAGTCTTGAGTAAAAGCTAGCTCAAATCACTGGCTCGGAGCTTGGAGGCAGGCCTGGGATTGCGGTGGCGCAGGGCGGAGGGGCACTAGCCCATGGGGCTCGGGCGGCGGCAGACCCGCTGAGGAAGGGGATAAGAACAGCGGATCTGCCAAAGTTGCGGACGCCAGGAAGAATACCTGCAAAGTGGAGAAAAAAATCCCGTGAGAAAAAAATAGAAGAAAAAAATTAAACAAAGGGTATTATAGTCATTTATTTGTTTAGTCCATTATGTGAAGCTGTTTTGCCAAACAGTTTTTCTAAAACAGTTTAGTTTCATCAAAAAAGTTGCTTGTGAAGCTATTTTGGAAAAAAAAAACAACTTCAATGGTGAAGCTCAGCCATGCCAAACGGGGCCTGGTAGGACTGTAGGAGCAGGAGATAGACAGAGCACAGCAGCGATCGGTGCGTCCATTGCTTGCGACGGCGACAGAGACGAGCCAGGGTTCCTTTCCTTAATGCCCAAGTCAAAGTACAGTGCTCCCTTTCTCTTACCACCGTTGCCAAAACTCCATTCGCCACCGCCGTCCGTTTCAGTTTTTGACGCAGACGCACCTACATCTCGTCGACGAACAGGGACAGGGACAGGTTGTTCCGGCGGCTACGGTTCACACCGCAGCTTCCTCGTACCTACGCTGCGACTGCATGCGAGCTGAGCCGCCGCTCGCCACCAAGCTCAGTGCACTCGCAGACTCGCTCTGCGTCCCGGCAAAGGCAAAGGCAATGCGTCCAAGAAACGTTTGGGGCGGCGCTTAGCTTATTTGCACCGTTGGTCAGTCAATGACCTGACCTGCACTGTCTGCCGGTGTTTGTTGTCGTCATATCCGCAGGCGGCGTTGATCGCGCTCCGCTAGTCAGTCCCCTGTTCCGACGACGACGACAACGAGAGCTTTCCGGCAGTAAGTGTGCGCGTCGTTTTGGGCAGCATGGTCGTTCTTGCTGCGTCCAAAGTGGCAAAGATGACTTCTCAAAAAAAAAAAAATGAACCGAGCACAAAGCACGACTCGGACGCGCCATTGACGTGACAGCTTCAGGGTTCAGATTCCTAATAAATCTTTCTGTGAAGCAATGGGAAGCCTTTGCCAATTATGAAAAATCGAAGCGAACTAAAGAAGCAACAAGAAACCAAGCATCTCAAAAAGAAAGAATCCAATAATACGAATTACAAATGCATCCTCTCCAAAAAAGTGCCACACCTAAAATTTCTTCCCTGATGCATGCGCGTATTTTGTTTAGATGGGGAAAAAATAGGTACACGTGTCAACGAACGTGACAAAATCTGGCCAAAATTTTCGAGTGCGCTCGGTGAAAGACTGCATATGGCTTGCGGAGACACAAGCCTGACATCAACGTCATCGTGACGGGTCCCGCGGCAGCGCCGGCCACCACCCGGAGTCCGCCCAACTCGATGGCGGCGGCGACGGGTATCCAGCCCCGCCGTCGCACGCGGAGCTGCTTCCCTGCGGCCACCACAGACGGTGATGTCCCGTGGAGCCGCTGCTGTCACCTCCTCGGCCGAAGCTGAAGAGCACCGGGACGACGAAGACGCCGTTCCGGACGCCGCGCTCACCGCGGGGTGCCGGACAGCGCGCGCCGCCGCCGCAGCCGCCTGGTCGTAGAGGCGCGTTGGCTCGACCGTGCCCTGCAGGAACCGGGCGCACTCCGCGTACTCCTCCCCGCCGCCGGCGGCCATCGCCAGCGCCTGCGACTCCAGCAGAGCCTCGGGCCTCTGCGGCGGAGGGGCAGGCGCATGCGGAGGAGTAATCGGCGGCTGCGCCACGGCGAGCGTGGCGGACTCCGGGAAGTTGAGCTTGGCGCAGCTGCCGCGGAACCTCAGCGCGGCCTCGTCGTAGGCCCGCGCCGCGGCCTCCGCGGTGTCGAAGGTGCCCAGCCACACGCGCGCCGCCTTGTGCAGGTCCCGGATCTCCGCCGCCCACTTCCCCCACGGCCGCTGCCGCACGCCGCGGTACCGCCTCCGCGGCGTGCTGGCGGAGTCGGTGGAGGACGGCGACGGGAGCTGCTCGCTAGAGCCGGGTGATGCCGCCGCCGCAGGCGAGTGCTGTTCGGGAGTACCTGCCGCCCCGTGCTCTGCTCCTGAAAACGGAGCGACAAGAATATCGCAATTAGTCACCACTGACCTGCTCGAAGATTACTTTTGTACTCTTCTCTTAATCATAGGAATTACTGTCAGTCACAATTCACTCTGCTCCTCACTTGTACCTTGTAACTATGTATGACTTACTTAAGGGTCACGAACATGAATTCTTTTTATTTCTGTGGATGATGCGTGTTGCGTGTGGATGAAGTGTCAAGAGCAGTGGATTTTGGTGTGTTAATTAAACGTGGTTCTCAATGGAACAGTTTCACACGAAGCGTCTTATTAAAGCAGAGGAATCTCGAGTGTGTGTATGCATCCGTCTCTGTTTAACCAGGAAGTGAGAAGCACATGCTTGATTTGAAGCAAGGGACAATTTAGGTACCTATCTGATGTATTTGATCCAAATGATTATTTCTTATAGTTGCCCTAGGTGACACGGCAAAGAGAATGCTCTTGTAGCTTCTTCTCTCTTTTTTTCCCAATGCAACAGTGACTCAAACTAACGTTGGAGCGGAACCGGTTCCCGCCTGGGACAGCTAGATGGGCTGCTGGTTGGAGTACTAGGCAAAATACGGAACCGGTCAAAAAAAGGGAGAATACGGAAAAAATCGAAAATAGTTTAAACCGTTTTCCTATCATTTCCTTATGTTCGGTTAGTGCTACCGTTTCTATTTTCCAAAAAAAAAAACAGAAAAACCTTGAAAACGAGCCCCAATTTACTGAAATTTCGGTTTCTGTTTTGTTAGCATCGTTCCAGCATGTAGTACCGTACTAGTAACAAATCTGCTGGTTTTATATCTTGAAATAAGGAAATTGAGTTCGATCTTAATTAAATCAGAAATGCTATACAACACACATGTGTTTTAGAAAAAAAAAACATATGGATTTTTTTTCCTTCAACAATGGGCCTGTTCGCTGGTTGGTGCTGGTGCTGATTTGGACTGGCTGGTGCTAATTTTTTGTGAGAGAAAAACATTATTAGCTAACTGATTTGGGCTGATTAAAACCAATCAGCGAACAGGCTGAATAGCCGTCGCCAGTGGACTCTCGGCCGCGAGGGGCAGCTCGACGCCCTTGGCTGGAGCCTGAGGAGGCCATTCGACGAGAGTCTTCTTCTCTGGCACTGGCAGCTCGCCACGGACTTCTGCTTGCACCACATGGCCAGGACTCCTGACTCCTGAAGCTCAGCAAGCCGTCATCCGTAGCATGGCCGTTGCCCGACTACATGGCGTGTCACCAAGGTCTGCAGGGAGTTTAGGCTTAACTGCAGGAAGGAGACGGGTCACTGACTTTGTCTTTTTTTTTTTTTCTTTCATAGAAAAAAATTGTAATCTGTGATATGTGATATGTGATGTGTGATCTGTGGAGGCTGGAGGTAGGAGAAGGGTGGAGGTTGTTGGATCTTAATCCTATGGTGTAAAAAAAATCATGTGTTAAAACTGTATAAAACACATGGTTGTTGGATAGACAGACTCTAATTAAATTGGTACACGGGTTGTAACAGTATGTAGTGACACCCTGACTCAAGAGAATAATGATAAGGTATATGCTGCTTCCAAAAACCGAAAAAGAAACTTTGAGGCAGGTGCTTCTCAGTCTAAGGCACCAGTGGTATCCAAGATCCAGTACCGTCCACCCAATGCTAATGTCCGGTACCGCCCACCTCAGAAGAAGAATCAAGCTAAAACTGGTTTTCGCAAAGGGTACACAATTTTCTTGTCAAAGAATATATCTGGGCAGGGCAGCTCCAATGTCCCACCAGCTAACAGGCCGTGTTGGAACTGTAAACAGCCTTTTCACTGGGCAAATAAGTGTCCCTATCCTTCCAAGCAGAATGCTCAGGGAAACGTCCGTCAAGGGTGTGTTCACTACACTACTGTGGAGGAAATTTCTGCTGGTGAAGTGGTCACCGCTGGTAAGTTTCTTGTTAATGATCACCCTGCAGTTGTGCTCTTTGATTCGGGTGCTTCACATTCCTTTGTGAGTTCTACTTTTGCATCTAAGCATAAGATGAATGTGATTACAATTGTCAATGGTGGTTATTGTATTAGTGCTGCTGGGAATAATATCATGACTAACCAAGTAGTTAAAGATGTAAAGATTGAGATTAGGGATCGAGAGTTCCTTGCAGATCTTGTAGTTCTGCCGGGGGTAGGAATCGATGTAATCCTAGGGATGAAGTGGATGAGTGGGAATGGAGTGTTGATCGATACGTCAACCCGTGTGGTAATGTTGAGGGATCCTTTGGATAAGAAAGGTTTTCTAGTGCAGTTACCTCGTGATATCGCTATTCACAATACAGCCAACGCTACCCTAGCCAAAGCCATTGAGGAGATACCGGTTGTCTGTGAGTTTTCAGATGTCTTCCCTGATGACTTGCCTAGATTACCTCCGGACCGTGATGTAGAATTTAAGATAGAACTCATTCCAGGTATGGCTTCTATTTCTCGAAGGCCCTATAGAATGCCGCCCAATGAGTTGGTTGAGCTGAAGAGTCAGTTGAATGAGCTTTTAAAGAAGGGTTTGATTCGGCCTAGTTCTTCTCCTTAGGGTTGTTCGGCTATATTTATGAAGAAGAAGGACGAGTCTCTACGCATGTGCGTGGATTATCTCCCCCTTAAAGCTGTTACCATCAAGAACAAATACCCTCTTCCTCGCATCGATATTCTGTTTGATCAGCTCTCCAAAGCTAAGGTATTCTCCAAGATCGATTTAATGTCTGGTTACCATCAGATCAAAATTCGTCCTTAAGATATATCTAAAATAGCTTTCTCTACTCGTTATGGCTTGTTCGAGTACCTTGTCATGTCCTTCGGGTTGATAAATGCTCCGGCACACTTTATGTACCTGATGAATTCAGTATTTATGCTGGAATTGGACAAGTTCGTCGTCGTGTTCATTGATGATATCCTTGTATACTCTCAGAATGAAGAAAAGAATGCTGAACATCTGAGAATTGTTTTAACTCGGTTGTGTGACAACTAGTTTTATGCTAAGTTCAGCAAGTGCGAATTCTGGTTGAACAAGATACCTTTTCTAGGTCATGTGTTATCTGGAGATGGAATTTCGGTTGACCCTACTAAGGTGCAAGAAGTCCTAGAGTGGAAGGCACCTACTACGGTCACAGAAGTCCGAAGTTTCCTGGGTTTGGCTGGCTATTATCGTCGCTTTATCCCGGATTTCTCAAAAATCATCAATCCCATGACTCGACTACTTCAAAAAGATGAGAAGTTTATGTGGACTCCGAAGTGTGAAGAGGCTTTCCACACTTTGCGGACCTTACTAACCTCTGCTCCTGTATTGGCACAACCTGACATCGAAAAACCTTTTGATGTCTACTGTGATGCATGTGGCACCAGTTTGGGGTGTGTTCTTATGCAGGAAGGCCGAGTCATTGCTTATGCTTCGCGCCAGCTTCGAAAACATGAAGTCAATTATCCTACCCATGACTTAGAGCTAGCCGCGGTTGTTCATGCCCTGAAGATTTAGAGACATTATTTGCTGGATAATGTGTGCAACATCTATACTGACCATAAAAGTCTCAAGTACATCTTTACTCAACCCGAGTTGAACATGCGTCAACGACGATGGTTAGAATTGATCAAATACTACAACCTTCAAGTGCACTACTATCCTGGTAAGGCCAATGTGGTTGCTGATGCCTTAAGCAGAAAGGCCCATTGCAATTCCTTAGTTAGTGAAGACTTTCATCTGGCACACCTCCTTCATCCTGTAGTACTCCACAATATCACTGTGGATTGCTCTCTTAGAAGTCGAATTATCGAACTCCAGAAGACTGATGTGGGTGTGTTTTACATCAAGCAGAAGATGAAAGAGCATGAGACCAAACACTTTAGGGTCGATGACAAAGGAATTATCTGGTTTAATGATAGGCTTGTAGTACCCAAAGACAAAGAACTTAGAAATTAAATTATGGCTGAAGCACATTCTTCTAAGTTGTCCATCCATCCTGGCAGCAGTAAAATGTATCAAGATCTCAAGCTGTATTATTGGTGGACCAAGATGAAGAAAGAAATCGCAGCTTACGTGGCAAGGTGTGATAACTGTTGCAGAGTCAAGACTATTCACATGAGGCCCGGATTATTGCAGCCACTCTCTATTCCTGGCTGGAAGTGGGAAAAAATTAGCATGGATTTTATTGTTGGATTACCCACTACAAAAAAGGGTTGTGATTCCATCTGGGTTATCGTAGATCGTCTAACTAAATTCGCTCACTTTATTCCGGTCAAGTCTACCTATCACCCGCACAATTATGCTAAGATTTACTTTCAACAAGTGGTACGTCTCCATGGTGTACCCAAATCCAATGTTTCAGATAGAGGACCGCAATTCACGGCTCGCTTTTGGGAGTGCTTACATCAGAATATTGGCACTCATCAAATCCGCAGTTCTGTCTATCATCCGCAAACATCAGGACAGACTGAGCGTGTTAATCAAATTCTTGAAGACATGCTTAGAGCTTGTCTTATCTCTTGCAAAGGCTCTTGGGAGGACTGGTTACCTCTCGCTGAATTCTCTTATAACAACAGTTATCAAGAGAGTATCAAAATGGCTCATTTTGAAGCTCTTTATGGCCGCAAGCGTAGAACTTCTTTGAACTGGGTGGAACCCGAAGAAAGAAGATTCTATGGTATTAATTTTGTAAAAGAAGCCGAAGAGCAAGTCCGAACTATACAGAAGAATATGACTGCCGCTCAGGCTAGACAAAAGAGCTATGCTGACAAGAGAAGAAAACCTATTGAGTTTGAAGTAGGTGATCATGTTTATCTAAAGATATCCCCTATGAAAGGAGTAAAACGTTTTGGAATCAAAAGGAAGCTTGAGCCTCGATATGTTGGACCTTACCGCATTATCGAGAAAAGTGGAAGAGTAGCCTATAAACTCGATCTACCACGTGAAATGGGAGCTATATTCCCGGTATTCCATGTGTCTCAGTTGAAGAAGTGTCTTCGTATTCCCGAGGAAAGAATAGCAACAAGGAAAGTCAACTTGAAATCTGATCTTTCTTATGAGGAAAAGCCCGTGCAAGTCCTTGATACTCAAGAAAGAGTGACTTGTACGCGAGTAGTTAAGTTATACAAGGTAGTTTGGAGTAATCACAGTGAACGGGATGCAATCTGGGAGCGGGAAGATTATTTAAAGAAAAATCATCCAACTTTCTATACTAAATGGTACGCTTTCCAAATCTCGGGACGAGATTTTTCTAAGGGGGAGGGCTGTAACACCCTAGGTGTTTGGCTTCCACTAAATTGCATGTCATTTCATAAACATGTGCATCATATATGTCATCATGCCATTATCATTGAAACATACATATGCAACATTCGTATATTCTGTTTGTTTCATACTTTATTGCTTATGAATGGTGGTAGTGCAACCTGTGAAAGTAACATGAATTTCACATACTTTGAAACATGGCAACATGGTAGTAATGTGACAAGTATAAAATGAAAACAAGGTCATGAAACATGTGAAACATTGCATTGCAACATTGGGTGAATTGCTTGTTTTGTTGTTTCATCACATGTGATCATTTGGATTGGTATAACAATTGTGTAAAGTGGTTGGTCATGGTCTAATACATCTTAACTACACTTAGGGTAATTGTTTGGACATTGTTCATGTAGATCAAAATGACAAAATTGCCCTTTAGGAGAGGTTTGACTTGAATTGACCCCTAGAGTGGCATTGTTTGACTGATTCAAAAGTCCAACTTAGGGATCTTGCATGGCTATACACTCTTTACCAAAGTTGTAGCTAATTTATCAAGGAACAAAAGTTGTTTTATGATCATCTCACGAAAATAGCTAGAACATGCTCAAACATGACCCACAAGTCAGAATTCCATGCTGATTTCACACTTAGAAAATATTCTAAGTCGTAGCTACATTTTCAGTTGCATCAAGCCCACTTTGGCTTCATGTAACTTCGGATCCACGACGATTTAGGTGTTGGTCCTTGAAAAGAAATTGTAGATGGATGGTAGACCTACAATTTTCATGTACATAGTTTTTGAAAAGGGTCATTGGATTAGCCGTGTTGACACGATGAAATGGCGCTGTCAGTCATAGTCGTCAAACACTGAATTGCAACGTTTCAGAAAATGGTCAGTGTCGCCATGGCCGACCGACGCAGAAGTTGTTCACCGCGTGGCGCTCATGCACCGCCAAAGCCTCCACGTCGCGCGTCCGCGCTCCAGAAGAGGGCCAGTGCCTGTCCGAACGCACCGCCTGCCCCATTCGCTTCCCTCTCGCCTTCTCCGTGCGTAGTGCCGAGTCCACGGCCGTCCGCCATTCCCAATCGAGCGTCGCCGTCGTCGTGCACGCTCTTCACCACGAAAACGCATTGCCCAGCTCGTCTGTGGCTTCGCCGTGATCCCCTCTACCTTCTTCACCCCACCGTCGATCCAGTTGTACCTTGGTAAGGGCGAAATTGCAGTTTCCTTCCACCGCCGTCATGGCTGACCTCGCCGGCATTGTTGCTCCACGCGGCCAGTCACCACCGTGGCCTTCCCGTCCTAGCTCTTTCTCGCGCTAGGTCCTAGGAGCGCTGCTGAAGCTCGTAGGGTCACCATTAGGGGCTACGACGCCGTCGTCTCGCCGGAGCCGGCCATGCCGCGGCCGTGCGCCGCCATGCTCGTCGCCCACCCCGGTAGCCACGCCAATAGCATCAATTGAGGGCACTGCTAGATGCGCACTGATGTAGTGAGCACCGTAGCACCGTCGGGTTCTCCGGAAGAGTCACCGGCGATGAGCTTCGCCGCCGCCCTGTTCTCCTCCCCTGCCTGTCTCTCTGTTGCGTGGGTCCCGCGCGTCAGTCGCCGCGGCTGAGGCGGGAGCCTGGCTGGGCCGCGCCGTTTCTGGGCCGCGCCTATGCCTGCTTCGCGGGCCGCCGTTTCTTCGGGCCGGCCCACCAGTAGTTGATTTGGTTTTCCTATTTTGTTTTGTTTTATTATTTCACAGATTTATGTACATATTAAAAAATATATAGCTCTTAGATGGTAGATCCAAATGATATGGTTCTAATTTTATTGAGTTCATGATAATATCTAGTTTTTATTAAAAATATAATCCATGCCATGTTCTGTTATAAAAATAGGAGTTTCTATTTATCTCTTTAAATCATGTAAGAAATAGGGGTAATTATATCTTTTTCTAGGTAGCTCCAAATGGCATGAAATTTTTATGGTGTACTGCTCATATCATGAATAGCTTGTAGTTAAATTTTCATAAACTTTGGACACTGTATGTAGGAGATAGAAAATTATCTTGTTTGCATGGATGGATCTTGTGTGAATTTTCATAATTTTTCTATAGATCCAGTAATTGTAAAAATTGGTGAGTGCTATTCTTATACTAGAATGAGGCTAGGAAAAATGAGAAATCTGTTGCTTGACACTTTTCAATAGGGTTTCCTAATTATGCTAAAAATAGACAGGCCATCTGTTATTTTGGGTACAGCAAGTTCTGCTTGCTCAATGGCTTTGAAATTTTTATGGTAGTCTATGTGAAGTATGAGATAGCTACTGTAATTTTTGTAGATTTTTATGAACAGTTTTACTATATATTGCTTTAATCACCTAATTAACTAAATAAATTGGAAAAGGATATTAAATAATTTATTTAGAAGTTAGCACTATACTTTTTAGTGTTCCTCTGGTATGTGGAACAAGTTGGTAAACTTGGTTTGGTCAAATTATGCGTTTGCATCATCATTAAATAATTAAGTTAGTAACCCTGTCATTTCTGGACAGATTCTAGGTTTACTGGAATTCGATTTGGTTAACGTAAGAATTATGTATGCCTTTACTATTTCTAAGTTGGTGGTAATGTTCCTAAGTGTTAGGCCTTTAACTGAAGATGAGCATCTTTATCTTAGGTTATGCAAGTTAGGTAAGTTGATCTTGTTCTTTAAGTTAAGTTAGATACATGCTTAAGTGATTTGAATAGAGCTATTTTACTCGGTAAACGAGTGTCCAGTGATGCTTTTATACACACTTACTGTGATTCATTTATCATGAGCATCATGTCATTCCTTATGCATCCATGATATTTATCTCGTGCATCAGCATGTAATAGGTGTACCGGAGGGAGTAACACTGCTGGAATTCAATGAACCGAGCGAGCAGCATCAGCCGACACCGGAGGTTCAGGAGGTGCAGCCTTCAGGAGAAGTGCCAGACGAGGTCGCCGTTGAGTGCCCGGATCACCGTCCGTGCAACTTTGTGAAAGGCAAGCCCCGGAGCATATATATATTGTTGCATTAAGTTTAGGTGTTGGATGCAAACATTTACTGCATTGGTTATCCGATCCTTGTCCAGATATTGGTACCCTGAATCTTATGTAGCTCAGGTTCGCATAGTGCTTAGCCCTGCTTAAACGCGGTAGAAGTTGGGTGATTTTCTGTCACCTGCGAGATATAGAAAGATACATATGGCATGGTTGGCTATATTTGCTATCATGGAAAAGAACCAGTCTTAATTTGAAATGAAGACCGGACGGAGGCTTGCCGGTTTGTAGTGACTCCGTCTGTGTCGATTAAGGACTGAATCTTGGAGCCTTTCCTGTTCATGTTGAACGCATGCCTCTCTCTTAGTTGGCCGGGTCTAGAGACCGACCACGAAGCCGAGTAGCTCACCTCAGGCCGGGAGTCGATAAGTATAAAGTGCGCCTCGGAAGGGAGCCGTAGGCGTGAGTCCAAGGGCAGGTGATTTAAAAGTCCTGATCGTCCTGACAGAAGGGTAATCCCTGAGAGTGCTGGCGCTGATCGAACCCGCGAATTTGGTTCCTGAGTTGTTCCAAAAGTGACCCACGACTACCCTTGCTATGTATGCCAGGGTGAGAGTTAGGAATACACCCTCAGCTGAGTTGTAATTCGATTCGAGTCGCCGTCTCTCCCGGTTAGTGAGAACTTGACGGGCTTATCTCCAATGTAGACGCACTAAATAACATAATGGTTCGAAAATGATGATACGATGATGACAGCCTTATTATATCTGCTATGGTTAATATTGATTGCTCCTAATAAGTGAGTGCTCTAGTACAGGTGCTAATCTAGTGGACAGGTAAATGATGATAAGCTTGATGCTAAGTTTAAATTGGTCACTATATTCATAAGCTCTTTTATGCAAATGTGTCAAGCTAGCCCACCTCATAAGCCTTGCATGATCCTTGATGTCTTTTATTTCTGGTTTTGTCGGGTAAGTCTAGCTGAGTACCTTCTCGTACTCAGGGTTTATCTCCCACCTGTTGCAGATGACCAGTTCTACTTTGGTTGCTGCAAGTATTGTCTTCTCCCGACTGGGGATGAAGACTAGACCGTTGGGCGCGGTCTCTACTAGTTCTCGTACCTAATGATGCTTTTGTGGGACATGACTAAGACCTGGCAATGTATTTGGAACTATGAAGTTATGTACTAAACTATGTTGCTTCCGCACGTTTGAACTTGGTTTGTAATATTTTATATTTGAACTCTGATGGATGTAATCCGAATGGTACTTATGAAATGTTGTAACGGATGATGTATTGTGTTGAATCACTACGATCTTGGTTTGTATGTCGAGAGTTGGTTGAAATCCTTCGTGATTTCCAGACTACCGAGATTATGGGAGCTTAAGTACAGAAATTTGATCGCTTCGATGATTGTTTTTGTACTTACGTTCTTATAATTTGGCCGGTTCTGTTACATATGCCACGCCACTTTTTTTCATAACAAATCTCGGGGACTCTCCAGAGTCCCGTACACAGCGCAAATTGCTTCCTGCGGCAGACTACCGACCCGAGGCAATCGCCCTCACAGCCACAAAAGTGAGAACTGAAAGAAAACTTGTTGTCACACTGTCCCGTGTATTATTCCAAGTGTGAAGCAACCACGTCAATCAGACTGGTGTGTTCGGCCGGGGCAAGAGCTGGCTATCGCCAAAAACCCTGACCGACGATAAACGAACAGCTAGCGTGGCGAATTCTGTAAAGAGCAGAAAGTTCACACTCCATGCCCGGCAATTATTACTAAGCACATCAAACGTACGGCTTATTATTAGTGCGTGCAAGGAGCCAAGAACAAGCCAAGAAAATTTGTGCGACAGGCAAGGCTCCACGGCGGTGATGAATGGTGGCACTCGGCACGCCGCGTCCACAGCATCATCTCCGGGCGCGTGGTCCACGCGGAGCCGTCGCCGGCGCCAGAGACCGTCCACCAGACGACGCGGGACCTGCCCCGCATGTTCGATGTAAAAAATGATGTGCAATGTAAGAAGATCTGGTGGTGTTTTTTGAAAAAAAGAAGAAGTAATCTAGATCCTGATCTGATGTGATGCGATAAAATGGTCTCAGAGACAAATAGTCAACTCTTACTTTTTAAACTACCTTAGAGCATCTCCGGCAGCTTACCTAGAACCATCACCTTTATTTCATTTTAAATAATACCTTAAACCCACCCTCTGATCATAGGAGACATGTCCTCCAGTAGATTACCTAAAGCATCTCCCATATACTACATTTTTCTTCTTTTCCTCAATCTTTCTCGTCCTTCTCCCTTCCTTCCCTCCGCTATGCACCACCGGTCAGAGCTCCTCTGGAGGACTGCCTAGATCTCGCAGCCATGGTGCGGGGGGGAGGCATATGCCCTTTCTTTAGGTAAGAGGGAAAGAGTTTTTGGGCATGACCCAACAATTGTAGGTATTGGGGTGAATTGTGATGGGTAATCTACTAGAGCTGCTCCCATCTCTCATATCCAAATTTTCAGGTATTAGGGATGGAATAGGTAAGCTACCGGAGATGCTCTTTCCACAATTAACCGGAGGATCCTTTTTGGAGCCTCCATAATATCTACGACAAGCGCTAAAAAAAAGATAAATTCTAAAATTCACAAAAAAATCAGAAACATCCAGCCATCAATTTGCTAGGCCCTATAATTATCCTTGATAATAATAGCCCTTTGATCAATATTTTTTTGAAAACTTACTCACCTTTGCCATTATAAAAATGGTCTATAGTAATCCCTAAATTATCCACATCTGTGATTATGAAAATTAACGTAAAGTAACCTCTAAATTTTCATCTAATAAATTATGCACGTTTGCCATTTTTAATAAGACCTAAACTAACCACCTAAATTTGTATCCGAATCTCATGCCTCTACCATTATTAGAAAAGTACACAAAAATACTTCTATTTATGCTTCTAAATTAGCCATTTTACTTTTTTATTTAAAATAAATAAACTAACTTAATTAGACATGCATGATATGTGTCATCAAGTGGACCACGTATATATGTAATTATGTATACAAGGGATGCACTGTGCACATTGATTTCAATCGCAAACATATACACACACAGCTCATGCAAAAATTTTGACTAAGCACAACAAATGCTCATAGATGTGCGATATAATGGGAAAATGAATATAAATAAAAACATATAGAGTAATACTAACTAAAATCTATATATCACAATTGAATTATATGTTTTTAGATACTGGAAATTTATTCTGGTCTCTGCAATAAACATGCACTCAACAAAACATTATTACAAAGTCTTAGCCGAAACTAGAACAAGTCCAAAGACTAAAGCACAAAGTTTAATAGAGTTTGGCTAAAACAAGAGTTCTCTTCATGATGATAAAATCTAGATTAAGCACACAACCGCGTAGTAGGCATTCACACATGGCTGGCGAAGATCTCTTCATGATTGTTGTTTACAAGTTGCAACATGGCATGTCAAAATTAGTCGGATATGGCCTTCTAAGCAAATACCAACACCGGATCCACAGAGTGAAAATAACCTGCATATGTAAATATTGAGTCTATACATGTACCCTACCCTATGCAACTTTCAGCCTGTTCGTTTCGGCTGGATTGGCTTATAAGCCATGACTGAAAGTGCTGACTGATTTGGTGTGAGAGAAAAATATTGTTCAAGCCATGGCTTATAAGCCAGATACGAGTAATCCAGCCTGAACAAACACGCTGTTTATGTAATTGAACTAGTAACAAAGTATAATTTTTGCATAATTTTAAAATAATGGTTCGTAAATTATAGCTGTACCTGGCAGCCACCTGAGAATGTGTGAGAGCAATAAATGAACAAGGGAAAGACGGCCTGTTCGGTTAGGGTGAAATGATTATATATCATCGTAAATTTCTAGTTGAAATAGTATTTTTTTCTCACATAAATCAGTCAATAGTACTTCTTTACGAACTAGCAACGATACGAACCAGCCATCCGAACTGAGAGAGAGTTCAAACCGCCAACGTTCATGCGTGCATAAAGGGCCAAAATCTGGTGCCTTTGCCGGCTGGGGCCTCCGTGCGGTCGCCAGTCCTACACATGGGTATTGACGGGCATGGGTATGTTGTACAGTTGATGTGGTTTTCTTGTGATATTATATAATGATATTGTATAACGGAAACAGATAAGAATTTACTAACTATTTCTCCTCCAAAAAAGTACATAAAACGTACAGTTGATGTGGTTTTCTTGTCAAGTTTATTTTCTTTTCTCTCGTCTAATAAAAATCCAGCAAAAGCTTTTTGCCGTCTTTTGAAAAAAATTAAAAACTGAACCAACAAAGCAAGTAACAAAAAACAAGCATCTCAAAAAGAAAGAATCCAATAATACGAATTTTGAATGCATCCTCTCCAAAGTGACACACACCTGATAAAAAGCCTAAAGTTTCTACTTGACGCGTGAGCGTATTTGTTTATATAAAAAAAGAGTACACGTGTCAACGAACGTGACAAGATCCGGCCAAAAATTTCGTAATGCGCTCCGTGCAGAGGGCAGATTGGCTTGCGGAGACACAAGCCTGACATCGACGTCATCGTGACGGGTCCCGTGGCGGCGCCGGCCACCACCCAGAGTCCTCCCAACTCGCCGTCGGCGACGACGCGTAGCCAGTCCCAGCCCCACCGTCGCTCGCGGAGCCGCTGCCCTGCGGCCACCACTGACGGTGACGTCCCACCGCGCCGCTGCTCTCACCACCTCCTCCGAGCACCGGGAACGACAGCGACGAGCCGGAAGCCGCGGTCACTGCGGGCGGCCGGACAGCGCACGCGGGAGCCGCCGCGACCTGGTCGTAGAGGCGCGTTGGTGGCTCGCCCGGGCCCTGCAGGAACCTGGCGTACTCCGAGTACTCCCCGTCGCCGCCCGCCAGCGCCAGCGCCTGCGACTCCAGCAGCGCCTCGGGCCTCTGCTGCGGCGGCAGAGGCGGAGGCGGAGGACGAACCATCGGCGGCGCCGCCGACACGAGCGTGGCGGACTCCGGGAAGTTGACCTTGGCGCGGCTGCCGCGGAACCTCAGCGCGGCCTCGTCGTAGGCCCGCGCGGCGGCCTCCGCGGTGTCGAAGGTGCCCAGCCACACGCGCGCCGCCTTGTGAGGGTCCCGGATCTCCGCCGCCCACTTACCCCACGGCCGCTGCCGCACGCCGCGGTACCGTCGCCGCGGCGTGCCGGCGGAGTCGGTGGAGGACGGCGAGGGCAGCTGCTCGCTCGGCCCCGGTGACGCCGCCGCCGCCGCAGGCGATTGCTGCGCGGGAATCCCTGCCGCCCCGTGCTCTGCTCCTGAAAACAGAACAACGACAATATCGCAATTAGTCAATACGAGTACTGACCTGCTCAAAGATTACGTTTTTACTCTCGTCTCCCAATCATAGGAATTACTATCAGTCACAATTCACAGTTCCCAACATACGCACGCAGTTAATTGTTAAAAACAAGAGAGGGACCTGTTCATTCTACCTGCTCTTCTGTTGTAACTTCATAGTATGACTTTACTTATCTCAATGGTCAAGAATATGAATCCGTTTTATTTCTGCACAATTATTAAGTGCGGATGATGCGTGTTGTGTGTGGATGAACTGTCAAGAGCAGTGGATTTTGGTGTGTTAATCAAACGTGGTGCTCAATGGAACAGTTTCACACTAAGCGTCTTATTAAAGCAGAGGAATCTCGAGTGTGTGCATCCGTCCGTCTCTGTTGAACCATCAAGTGAGAAGCACATGCTTGATTGGAAGCATGGGACAATTTGGGTACCCATCTGATGTCATCATATAGTATATTTGATCATGTTTATGTTGACCAATGATTATTTCCTATGGCTGCCCTAGGTACCACGGCAAAGAATGCTGGTAGTGGTGGGAAAGCGAAGTTTCTCTTGTCTTCTGAGCTCACATATACCATCAGCCTCTTCGTATTTTTTTTTGTTTAGAAACCAACCAGCCAACATGCTCTATATGGGAAGTAGACACAGCAGAGGGCAGTATCGTATGCCCTAGCGGTTACTATCTAGAGCTACATCTAGCACTACTGATTAGGGCCGTAACTATAATTTTTTTTTGTTTTCACATTATGCTCTGTTAGATCTTGTTTGGCAACACTCCTGTTAGCTTTAGTCGCCAGAATATTTGCAGTGGATCTCTAAGGCGAAAGTGAAGCTAAAAGAACTAGTGTGACTAGATAGATCCTACTTCATTCTTAGAAGTGAAACGATTCTGTGTTATAGCATCAACGTCAGGACATGAAACCGAGGATATCTCGAGGGCCATGCCAAACAGAGTCGTCTCATCTTGATGGATCTGATCAGCGTCCGTGACGGCTGGTAAGTGTGCAGTACTCCACCCGGATGCCGTAGCTGCTACGGTCCTTTTAGCAAGTATGCAGGTCATGCCAACAAATTCCATGACGTGCTGTACGTACTACATGTAGCTACCAATTTTTTTCCATGCATGCACAACGGGAAGCCAGCACGTAAAGAGAGACGAAAGAAAAATGAGAATAGGAACAACAGGTGGCATGGCCAATGGAACAGAGCAACCGCAAGGGCTGAGCAGAGTACGCCAAGCGCTGCTCTGTTTTGCGCGAGAGAAGGATCGATCGGTTACCGTGAGCGGCCGGCGTCGTAGGATGAGAGGACGTCGGCGGCGGCGTTACGTCTCCATCGTAGTAGTCGCTCCACCACTGCCCCTCCGACGAGACCTGACCGTGACGGCCACTGACCGGCGCCGGCGCCGCTGCCCCGCCGGCGACGACCGAGGACAGCGCGTCGACCATCATGGACGCCTCCCGGCTCCGCTCGTACCCCGACAGAATTCGCCACGTGGCCGCCTCCTGCTGCCCGTCGTCGTCGTCGTCCTCACCGGAGAGCCGCGGCGGCGGCCCTCCTCCTCCTCCTCCTCCCTCCGCGTTCGCCACCCTGGGCGTGCAACGACAATATGGCTTGTGCTTCCCTCCTCTCGTCTCGTCTGGAGTGGACGACCAGCGCCATGTATGTTTATATATAGGCGGCGCATGGGCACGTGTCCGGCCCTGGAATTTCCACGGCATTTTGTTTCCTTTTTTTTTCCTGTGCCGAAAGGCAGCTCAGCCCTGGTTTAGTTGGACCCAAAATCTAAAAAGTTGCTACAGTATCTGTCACATCGAATGTTTGCGGTCCGTGTATGGAGCATTAAATGTAGACGAAAAGAAAAACTAATTGCACAGTTTGGTGGAAAATTACGAGACGAACGTTTTAAACCTAATTAGTCAATGTTTGGACACTATTTACCAAATAAAAACGAAGGTGCTACAGTAACCAAAAATCCAAATTTCACGAACAAGGGCTCAGCCGTTTTGCGTACAGTGAGCAAGCAGTAGCACAGACGAGGTGCAATGCATTCGGCCACGCACGGCACGGCGCACGAAGCATCCTTTCCATCAGCTTTCGGCTCGGTTTGTTCGTTTCCTTCGTCCGTACGGCAAATTCAAACGTACGGGTCGGTCTGCAGGAGCTGGATGGTTTCCAGCTGCAAGTTCGTTTCATCCAGACGGACGCCTCTGTTTGACGCTGTGGAGTGAGAACGTCTAGAATCCAGGTTACGGTGCGATCAGTATTTTTTTTTTGTTTGTTGGTTCATAAAAATGATAGAGTATGTACATGAGTAAAATAAAACGGAGGAGAATTCGGGAGCAAATTGGTTGCGAATATATTAAACTGGAATTCGATTGTTCGCGGTGATTCGGTGCGTTCACACACGGCCGACCACGCATGGTTGACCACCACAAATTGGTCTGACCACACCTCCACAATTGTGCGCGTCCAGTGCCCCGTTTGTTTGGTTGAAAGTACGGTTAGCCCTTTGTTTAGTTCTAGGAATTTAGAATTTGGGGATACTGTAGTATTTTCGTTTTTATTTAGCAATTAGTGTCCAAACATAAACTAATTAGGCTTAAAATGTTCGTCTCGCAATTTCCCACCAAACTGTGCAATTAGTTTTTTTTCGTCTACATTTAATGTTACATGCATGGGCCGCAAATATTCGATGTGACAAGTACTGTAGCACTTTTTTGGATTTTGGACTTCAACTAAACACGCGCTTAGTTAATATGTGGTGAGAAAAAAATACTATTTATTAACTTAAAAAAGTATGACTTATAAAACAAACGAACGAGACGCGGATTGTTGGTTGCGGTGCTACTGTGACTGATTACCGGTGGCGGTCTCTGTAGTTAACTAATAATAACACTCGTACTTGCAGTAATACTCCTACAGTAATTACCTACCCGTTCTCCGCCGCGACGAACCGCCGAGAAAGCTGTAGCGAAATCCGAATAGGCTGCTGCCTTGTCCCAACGCGTTTTCCTCAGGACCAAGCCCATTTATTTACTTCCCTCCGTTTGTGTTTACTTGTCAGCAGCTTTTTACTGTAGCAAATTTAATCATCTATTTTTTCTTCTAAAAAAATCTGAGATACTTCAACGTATATAACACTGATGAAATATGTTCAATAAAGAATCATATATGTGAAAACTTGATGTATCTGAAAATCTTTTGCAAAAAAAATGTATGATCAAAATTGCTACAGTAAAAATTGGATGGCAAGTAAACGAAAACGGAGGTAGTATACAACTACATACTGCTACTACACGTGCGTTAAAAGAGTCTGGTGCGGTGCTGACGTCCACGGTCTACCACTAGTGTACTAGACAGCTAGTCTTGCCTCTTGCTAGTGGACACTTGGCAGCAAGTAGAGTCTTCTCCATTCTTCTCCAATTAGGCAAAATACAAATATCATAGCTTTAGTGTGTGTGTATGTTTTTTCCTATGCACCAGTATTGCACAGCGTTTGTAAACCACGCATTCCTTATTTTAGAAAGGAACTTGAATACTAAATACTCCTAGCATAATCAGTGGCTTCACAATATATATGGAGTCACACTCCCCACCTCTAGGACATAGAACAGTTCCCTCGATGTTCTCTAAACCACACATCCAATTATCCGTCGATGATTACGACCTGTACAATTTCACATATACCATTTCATATTCCGGGGATCATTCGTGCTTCCATTCTTCTCTAATGACCTCACCACCTTCTACAACACTATTACCAAAAGTATTTTCAGTGCCAACCACGTAGATTAAATGCTATATGTTATCAGGTCTTTTACAGATACGGCCTATCCACATCTATAAATCGTTGGAGTCGCCAGTATCTCTTATTACTATTTAGGTCTTGTTTGGATATTATCGTATTCATCTTAATTACATGTGTTGGGATGGACTGGGGGTGAAAAATTTAGTTTAAGTTTCACTCTAATCCATCCCAGCATATGTGAATTGATGGGAATCCGATTACATCCAAACAAAACCTTAATAGGGTCGTAAATGGTACATATATTTTCTGACTGACTGATCGACCGAAGATGCTAGTGTGTCAAAAAAAAAAACTCCAGTAGGATGGACAGTGTGTCAAGAATGGATGGGTTTCTGCCTTTTGAATTTGGTTAATTATCCGGAATCCACTAGCTAGTCTGCCGCCAGCAGTAGTGCCGACATACATGTTACAAGATTATCCCGTTTCTTTTGCAATGTTGGGCCAAGAGGCCTAATCGTGCCGCTTCATTGCTTCTTTACTTTTTATTTCGTAATTTATTAACTTAATTTTTCCTTGTAATTAATGCCACGAACACTCTTCTCTTGATATGGAACAATTTTTTTTATGAAGCTAGAATACTTTTATTTTACCGTGAAGCTAGAATACTTCTATTTTATTGTGACGCTAGAATATTTTCTTGTGAAGCCAAACCATTTTTGCTTTTCACGTGAAGCTAAAATATTTTTGCTTTTCACGTGAAGCCAAACCATTTTTGAAACCGACCTGATTGCACGCTATTAACTACTCCTAGCTAGCAGTACCCCGAACACATCTTCTACACTAAAGTTTAGGAGGTGTCACATCGGGTGTCACGTAGTGTTCGGATACTAATCATAAAACTAATTACAGAAGCCGTGACTAATTCGCGAGACGAATCTATTAAGCCTAATTAACCCATCATTAGCGTATGTTAATGTAGCACCACATTGTTAAATTATGTACTAATTAAGCTTAATAGATTCGTCTCACAAATTAGTCTTAATCTATGCAATTAGTTTTGTAATTAGTCAATATTTAATACTCTAAATTAGGATTAGTATAAATCATGCATTATATTACTTGTCATGTCTGAATTTGGAGTAGTCAAACACATGGAGACATTGCAATCATGCGTCGGTTGAGCCATCAAGCTCCATTGACGTACTCTCAGGTCACGTTTTGAAAAGTTGAAAGAAATTTGGGAAACCTAGCAAACAAACATCACGTGCAGATCGACACGCATGCGTACTCTCTAGAGCCTACATGTGAGTAGAGTAGAGTATACGTCATTGTGGTGTCGTAAGAAGAGCAAATTTATTGACTAGCTGTAGTCATATTATCACGAAGAAAGCTCTAGGAGACTTGGTCATGTTAGATTAGTCCACGTATATAGATAGCTTGAGTTCACTGGACGCCCAGGGGTGGATCCACTCGTAAGCCTGATTTCTGCCTTAAATCAGTGTTACTTAGCTTTAAATCACTATTAATGTTTAGCTTAGCACTAAATCTTCATTATTTAGCCTCGTTTATTCCTGTCCTGGATCCGCCCCGTGGACGCCATAATATAGAAACTTAGAAAAGCAATAGTAAAGTTGGGTCCAGTATGGTCCTCATGTCAAGCCTTGAACTTTCGATTGGCATTTACTGTATAATCTATCCTCCCAGTTGACTAGATTGTTGTAACATCAAGGGAGGAGCGCTAATGGAAATGGGACAGAGATGGCTAAGCGTGTCGATCGTAAATTTGTTAATGGAAAGAAAGTGTAACAACTCGGGTTTTTAGAGAAGCAAAAAATACGAACTTTTGAAAATTTTTCCTGCAATATGTGAAGCATGTAAATGCTAGGTCAAACACGAGTCCAACTCGCTAACAAGAAGTTGCATACATGTAGATGGTTTGTAGGTGATTGTCGGAGTTTTCGAGTTGTCTTGTGTTTGAGCCTCGTTTTTGTTGGAGAGCACAACCCATAGCAACCTCTTTGTGATCCTCGCGGGATTATTTCGAGTCTTCTATGAATCTCTCTCTATAATCCCGAACTCCACTAGAACCCGGACTTGCCATTTATATTTATGTCAACCATTGGACCGGAGTCCCTAAACCCTAAGACCCCTAGTAGACCATCACGATGAGTAAGCATGTTGTTAATACATGCGGGTACACACATATAAGACATAGGAGTAGGAGAACAAAGGAAAAGACCCTCTTCTCTAGTCGCCAGTGGAAATCATCTGGAGCCCCCTCTTGGAGCTCACATCTCAAGTGCCATCAATACCCCTTTCTTGAAATTCCTATTCAAACTCCATGCAGATCTCCCCGAATTTCCCCCCAAATTCTTCCTTCGAGTTTTTCCAAATATCCCCTGAAAAATTCCCATCCGAACACTCGTGGAAATTTCGTCTTGAGTTCATATGAATCTCTCCGAAAGATTCCTCGAACACCGCCTTATATTTCATCTTGGAAATCCTTCTCAAGATGTGATGGATTCTTCTCAAAACCAAATTCAAAACCATTTAAACTTAAATTGGAGAATCTATTTCCTTATCTCTCTTCTCTCCCCTCACGCCTTGGCCCGGCCTAGCACTCCCTCTCTTCCCCTTCTTTCTGCACCGGCCCAGCAAGCTACAGGAGCCCAACCGAGCCCCCCTCTCCTTGCCCAGCCTGGCCTCTTGCCTTCAGCCCACGCAGGCAGCAGCAGCAGCCCAACAACCCCGGCCCGTCTCGCACCCCACAGGCCCACGAGCACGAGCCTGCTGGCCCAGTCGGAAGCTGCCCCAACCCAAGCCCTAGCGAGAGCAGGAGCTCCTAGCGCCGCCGCCGCTCGCATGCCAGCGCCCCCTCACCCGTGCCTCACCTGCTCCGCTCCTCGATTCGCGCCACGTGTACCTCCCCGGGCACGGACGCCGAGGATGGCTGGAGTGCAGTGCTATAAA